CCCCCGGGCCGCGAGCGGCTATGTGAGCAGCCAACAGCAGGGTGTTTTCTTGTCCTTCTCTGCTCCTCAATTCTTGCTCCGGATAATTTAACTGACATCAAACGTGGATGTGCGGGTGTGTTTGGTTGGCTTTATGGCTTAACTCCCTGGAACCACGCTCGGTAACCCCACAGAGGCTGCTTTTTGGGCTTCAGACTCCCCCGGGCACCACATCCCTCCCGCATACCCATCGAAGTCCCTACCCATCGATATCCACAAGGTCCTCTTCGCTGCGCAAGCTCAGCACGTAGAGCGTGGACATGGACACCACACTGGAAAGACAGAGAGAGAGGGACAGGCTGAGGATGGGCACGGGGCAAGGGACGGGTCACGCTATTGATCCGCTCTCAAGGGATTTCAGGCCATGAAAGAAGACGTAGATCCACAGCCCCTCGCTGCACGCCCCACGGATGGCAGGGGCCAAACCGACGAGTGGGAAGGAGACAGGGGTAATGGGTTTAAACTAAAAGAGGGGAGATTTAGACTTGACATAAGGAAAAAATTTTTTACAATGAGGGTGGTGAAGCACTGGCACAGGTTGCCCAGAGAGGTGGTGGAAGCCCCATCCCTGGAGGCATTCAAGGTCAGGCTGGATGGGGCTCTGAGCAACCTTATCTAGTTGGAGATGTCCCTGCTCACCGCAGGGGGGTTGGACTAGATGACCTCTAAAGGTCCCTTCCAGCCCAAATCTATGATCCTATGACAGTGGCGAAGCAACAGCCCGGGTGTGCGGTCTCACCTGAATGCCATGATGATGACCAGGGCTATGATGGTGCCCTGCAAGAAGCGCTGGCTGATGCAGGCCTGCTCCGGGACAACCGACGGTGACTGCAAGAGAAAAAAACCCCAGATGAGCTCAGGACTCCCAACTGCTCCGGTCCTCGCACAGATCTCACCCAGCCCATCCCGACCTCTCCTCTTCCTCCCCTGCAAGCCCTGAACCCCCTTGGCACGGACGTCATCTAATGTCTTCCTTAGGCACGGACAAAAAGGAAGGAGAGATCATGGAAATGGGAGCAGACAGGGTCTCTCCCTCTGCGGCACGGGTAAGAAAACACACGAGGACCACGCAGATGACCGCTCTTAGCCAGGCCACCTTCCCCTGCGCAGCGCTGCTCCTTTGGGAGCGGTCCCTTACCTTGCTGGCCACTTTGTGGGGTCTCTTTTTGTGGGGCACGCTTCCTGCACGGCTGAACTGGCTTCCAGTTTGGCTGCAAGGAGAGAGGAGGAACAGAGCTGAGGGGTTCAGGGACAGCCCTTGAAGCGACTCCCAGGCCAAAACGTGATTCTCTACTAGAGGAGAAATCTCTGCGTGGCATGACAGTCACAAACCCTGGTCACTTCATCTGCCCGGGGGTGGGTGCAGTGCTGGTCCGTTGCCCAGAGAACCTGAATTCTGCCCCCAAAACCTGCACAAGCTGACCAGGGTCAGTACGAGGATTTTGGAAGCAGGAGAAAAATCTTTGCCCTGAGAAAGGCGCCCACTGACTCTAGGGAAAGGTGGAGACAATTTCACACTGGGGTTTTTTGGGCTGGTCCAAGGGCAGGCTGTTGGTATGTGTACGCCAGACCCGTCTCACCAATCTCAGCTCCTTGAATCTACCCCAGGCCAAACGACAACTGCCAACACCCCACCGCTCCTCCCCAGCTCCTCTTTCCCAAACCCAGCTGTCGCTCGGGGCTGTCTGGGCTGACCAGGAGACATCATCCCTTCTGGCCCCCATGCCCTCAGTACCCCCGTACCTGAATGCCCCAGAGCTCACGGTCGACTTCATGCTGTCCAGCCGCTTGAGCTTGGCCAACTTGTGACTCCACCTCTCCAGCTCATCGATGCGGGTCTCCAGGTTGTCCGTCAGTTTGCACAGCTCCTTCACGGCTCCCACGTTCTCCATGAAGATGCGCTCCTGCCAGGGAACAGGTCGGCAGCCTGAGCGGCCCGGCACTCCTGCTCCCACGGATCTGACTGCCCTCCCATGCCCTGCCCCAGGGGAAAGGCTACACAACGCCCAGCTCTGGGGGTAGGCAACCACCCAAGTCAGCACATCTGGATCTCTACAGCCCCCAGATGCAAGAACAAGACATATCCTCTTCAAACCCAACCGAAACAATAAACGTTGGTGCAGAATCCCTGGGGTCTCCTGCCAGCACTAATCCAGAGTCCTCCTCGGGCACAAAGGACAGACACAAAGTCCCCATCTTCATCAGGAGCCCTTGGTCAAACCAAGTGAGCAATGCTCCCCGTGTACCCCTTCTCTGCCCCTCCCCAGCCCTGTCTCTTGCTCTACAGTGCAAGCCGCTGGAGTTATTCTGCAGCATCACCCAACAGACAGTTGAGCCAGAGCCCCAATCCAGAAGCCGGTGATGTAACTGCAGGGATCTAGGCTTCCACAAAGGGGAAAGAAGGCACCAAGGTCAGTCCTGGCCATTCCTACTCTGGACAGGGTGATGGAGGAGAGAGCTGGCAGCTCTGGGAGGCTGTCCCCTCCATCCGTGCTACGGGAGGCTCTCCCCTCAATGCCCAGAGCAGCAAAGAGGCTGCCACAGGTTACGGAGAGGTCAGGCAGCCAGGTGCTCTGGGTTATCTTGACATAAGCACCTTATCTTATCTAGAAAGGAGAGATTATGACTAAGAGCCTCCCTACAGGAGGCTGCCAACAAGGAGCCCTTCCTAAGGGAGATGCTGCCAACTTTCACCAACGTCAGGCTAGCTCCTCCCTGCCGATGTCTGCCGTCCACCCAGGGCTGCTCCTGACGTCTGAAAGACCAGCCAGGTCTGAAACTCATATGGGTGGTGTTGGCCTAGAAGCATTTCCCAGGCACCACAGTTTCTCTCTTCCATTTCCAGCTCCACAACTCCCTTGAGCCAGGCTCAACAGCCTCCCCAGCCCCCCCTGCCCCTCCTGGCTGCCACCAACCTTGTTCACCACCAGGAAGTTCTCAAGGGTCTTCCCATTGGAAAAGACCAGGTCTCCGGTGTCCTTCACAGCTTCAGGGAGGATCTCCTTTACCTCCTGAGCAATGACGCCTGCGTGGAAACAGCACAGTGGGTCACAGTGGTCTGGGCAGGGCTCCCCCTGCCACAACAGCCCTTTCTCTGGCCCACGTGGTCGTTGGCAGGGACCCTCTTCATTGGGGACGACACAAGGGTTGTCCTCCCTTCACCCCAGCCTCTGCAGGGCCAGGCAGAGCTCCTTGGAAGCCCCGTGCCCTGGGCAGCCCGTACAGGCTCAACAGAAGAGCGGAGGCTGCTCAGACAGGGCCGGTTCCCACGTTACAGGGCTATTCGCATCTCTGGTGTGTAGCTGTACCCCTGGGGAGAGGTGGGTACGAGGAGAGGCCTTATCACAGAAACCAACCTTTGGGAAGTGCCATCTTCTCTCCCGCTCACTAAAGAGGGAATTTCATTAGATGCCTAAACTTCAGACGGCGAGAAGCCCCCTCTCTCCTACCCCATGCCAGGGCAGAGCCGACTACGGCTGCCCGGAAAGGCAGGGCAGCGCCGCTTGGCATCGAGAACAAAACTCCGATGTATGTTGCGCAACGCGAGGTCCAGCGCCGCAGACGCGAGCGGCGTCATCGCGGTGTGACGCGGGGCCCCGTACCTGTCTCGGAGGTGTTGTCGATGCCCACGGTAGCCGCAAACTCGGGGTTGTAGTTGTAGTGCACTAGCCGCATACGGGAGATCCTCTTCAGCTGCTCTGTGGTGTCCACCTGGGACAAAACACAGGCACAACTCCTAAGTGGGGTTCGGTTCTCAAGTTCCCGTGACTCTGCCTCCAAGCAGCAAACCCCGCTATGGCTCACGGTAACACCTTGGGGAGACGGCACGTCGTGGGACAGCCCCGAACCCTTGCTCGCACCAGCCGTGAGGACAGAGAAACAGCATTTGCCCCCGGGTCACTCTCCAGTTCTTGTCGCTGGACAAGTTCCTTGGGTAGCGAAGCCAGGAGGAGGACGAGTCCCCACTGCACAGCCAGGCACGGGGCAGAGGCAGATCTCATCAATACGAGACGCGATGGCACCCAGCTTTCCCAGCACAGCCAGCTGAGGGGACTTCAGAGCAGGGCTGAGCCTCTCACTCAGGCTCTGGCAAGCCCCGGAGCGCTACCCGATAGACTCATCTCTTCCCAGGATTGTAACTTCTGTGCTTGCTAGCTCTGGCTAACGGTGGGAGAGTCAACATTCCCTAAGACAGGGCGGACAGGCTGCGTTTGGGAGGGACAGACTTCTACGGTACTTCCCGTCTGCTCAAGAGGAGCTGACGTTGCCCGTAAGGACTACGGCTGACAAGGATGCTCACACTGCCTGCGGGGCCTCCTCAGCTCCCTGACCACCCCAAGCCTACCCTGCTTTGCCTGGCTCTTACCTCCTGGATGTCCTCCTTCACTCGGACGTCTGAAGGGTGCATCAGCGAACCCATGACCTTCACATTGCCGTGGACCACCAGGGCTTCATCGGGGCGGTCCGTGTTGATGCCAACGCGGCCGTGGTGAAAAACAGTATCGGGGAGCTGTGCCCGCTGCCAGAGCACGTCGCTGTCGCTCTCAAACTGGCCAGGGTTGGAGGCCTGCGGCGAGAAAGGAAAGCGGGGACTGAAAAGCAGCAGGAGCAGCAAAACCAGGGAGAGAAATGCTGCAGTGCTGCTGGGCAGAGATGTAGACAGAGCGAGGATGTCAGGAGAGCCCCACAGACCCATCATCCCTCCAGGCACGCTGCAGAAGGACAGCGTAGCAGGAGGGGTCACGGGCAACGGATGGACATCAGAGAGCCCCAAGCCGCTGCGGTGGCCTGGACAGTGCCGTCCTCATTCGCGTGGGTGGGAAACAGCTGCCAGACAAAGCTTGGCATAAACAGAAGCACCTAGGAGCACCCAAGGGTGTCCGTG